TTCTCCGCCAAACTCACTTTTAGTGCACACAACACCCCCGCACCCTCCTAGCCGCCCTCAGACGAAACGATCTCAATACACTGCACCAATACCTCTGCCCCTTCGTCGTCTCATTCGAACTACCCATGCACAGCAGCTCCAGACTCCAGGTAAGGAAATTTGTCTCTCCCCTTTGCTTCCCTCCGCGTTGCGCCTTGTTGACACCATGTATAAATTCTTAACCATCGTCACTGGGAAAAATGGGTGTGCAAATGTGCGGTGCCGCCGACCACATGTTTGACCTGCGACCTCTCTCCCCGACTGTTCTCGCTCCCCGACTGTTCTCGCTCCCGGACTGTTCTCGCTCCCCGACTGTTCTCGCTCCCCGACTGTTCTCGCTCCCCGACTGTTCTCGCTCCCCGACTGTTCTCGCTCCCCGACTGTTCTCGCTCGCACCCCGCCAATCTCCGTCTGTGGCAGATTCGATACCTCCGATCTACCACGGGCATGGCGACACCCCAACGCTGGGTGCGATACGTCACCCAGTCTGGGTCCTTCATTGCCCGGTTCTCGTGAAAGCCTGCGCCGATACGCCACGATGGCTGGCTTTCCGCAACCGGCTGCTTCATACAGAGGACGCTTCGAGGAGCTTTCAACACTTGATACTCCACCCAGTCATCGGGCACTTACAACACGTGGACTCATCAACCGTCTGGTCCTCCCAACCGTCTGGTCCTCTCAACTGTCTGGTCCTCTCAACCGTCTGGTCCTCTCATCTCGTGCCTGGCCTGATCCACTCAGCCCCAGTCCTGGCCTCTCTCACCGGCATTGGTCTGATTTCTCTCACCGCTGATTGGTCTCATTACTGGCACAGTCCGTCTCGCGGCGTAATCACACTTTACTTTAAAATCATAGTATAAACCTCCGAAGGCGTTCCTGCAAGCACGCGTCTGCGGCACGTCTTCAGTGCGTGTGCCAAACACACGTTCGTTCGACACGTGTATATTCAACACGTGTATATTCGACACGTGATCGGTACATATGTGCTCAACTGCGTGAGGAAATAAAGCTCGCAGTGGCTGACTGCGACGACTCGAAATGCGAGGACGCGGCTGCTCTGAGTCCTCCGGCGGGGAAGCTGAGCGGCTTGGTTTGCAGAGCGTTGGAGAAGCTGTTGTCACCAGCCGCGAGAACTCCGAGGTCGTTGTTGACCTTTTCCAGGGTGACCATCTTGGCCAGGCGGTTGCCATGCTGCACTCCGCCGATTGTGCTTTTCGCTGCGTTCTTCGCTCCCGCAGCGAGTTTGTTTCGACGATAGACCGGGGATGGTAGGGGTTCGTAGGTGAACATGTGGTCATCGGAGTCGGAGTCATGCAGCTCTGTGTTCGACATCGCAGCGGCAGACTTAGTTAAGCAGAGCTCCGGCACACGCGTCCGAGCCTCTGACTCACGTGGTGTCCTCTCGGGTCTAGCGATACTGTCTCGTGGGTCTTGTCTATGACTGTCTCTGTGGCTGTCTCTGTGACTGTCTCTGTGGCTGTCTCTAGAACTGTCAATTGCGAAGCCCACTCCAAGGAAGCTACTGCTGATGCTGTTTGGCGTTTCGGTTTTCGACTTGGAAGCCCCTCGTTTTAGGGCCGGTTTCACGGGCGACGTCTTGAACCCAGGTTTTACGGATTCCTCGCTCGCAAACACAACGCTGGACTTCATATGGTTTCGGGCAGCCGAACCAATCGTGGATCCGCTGACGGTGGTTGAGACCACCGTCACGGACTCCTGGTAACTGTCGCTTCCCTTTCGAGAGTTGCTTCCCCTACGAGAGTCGGCTGGTGCTTTGCGGTGGCGGTCGTCTCCGTCTCGCCGACCCTGCGAGTGCCGACCGTGCGACCCGCGATCGGTAGTCAGAGTCTCGTGGCATCGGAGACCGTGGCGATCATCGTATCGGAGACCGGGACGGCCATCATAGCGGAGGCCGGAATGGTCATCGACGTGTTTGGATCTTACGTCCCACGTTGAAGCAGCCCTTCTGCGATGCTCGCGGTGCTTTCTGTTCTCGTAATCTCCTCCTCCTGCCCCCTCGTCCTGTCCGTACCCGCTGCCAAACTGTCCTGGTCCCACGATCATGACCTGAGGCGAACTTTGGAACCGTTTTCGCCTAGTAGCCAACGTGTCTTTGGCACCGCCAAGCCCGGCCCCATCGGGCGATGCATTTCGCCGACGGGAGGACCAACCAAGACTTGCCCGATCCAAGCTCGATCGGCCTAGGCTCGATTGGCCTAGGCTCGAATGGTCCAGGCTGGAAGGCGCAGCACTAGAGCCCTCCATCGTCAAATGAAGGTCCTCTGGCCGACGTCTTCGGCCTCCCCTCGACCGGTCTCTGCGTCTGTGATCCGGTGAGCCGGATCGGCTGGACGACACGCCACTCACCGACGACCGGGAGCGCAATCGGGCCCCACGACTTGCTCTGGAGCCGTGACTTGCTCTGGAGCCGTGGCTCGCCCTTGAGCCGTGACTAACGCGCGAAATGCCACTCCCCGGCCCATGCGCCACGCCCCCGGATGCCCGGTTGATCTCCAGACCCCCACCATGATGACTGTTAACGCGCTGTCGGTGGGCGACGGGGGTTCTTTTTGTTCCCGACGCAGCTTCGTCCTTCTCTCGACGGCTCGAACTCTCGCGATGGCCGCGACTCTCTCGGTGGCCGTCACTCTCGCGATGGCCGCGACTCTCCCCCCGACCGTGACTCTCCCCTCGACCGTGACTCTCCCCTCGACCGTGACTCTCTATTCGACCGTGACTCTCTCTTCGACCGTGACTCTCTCCTCGACCGTGACTCTCTCCTCGGCCGCGACTCGCTCGGGAGGCTGTGGCGGGTCTGCGACGGGTAGCGGGGGGTTGATGTTCGGCGACAGACGGGTCCTCTTCGTCTACGAACCGAGCGCCGTGAGTGGAGCCATTCCGAACGGGACTGTGTCCGGCCCTGGCTGAACGCGGGACTCGGCCTGGAGACCGATCAATGCTCCGCGACACAGCATCCGTGGACGTGTGTTGATCCTCTCCAATACCGTGTTTTCGTGTACGACTGCTATCGCGGTGGTCTGCGGGCACCTCCGCTTCCGGGCAAGTCGGTCCTAGAAGCCTCCGCGTATCAATGAACTTGGAGGTCACGGAACGTGGAGGTCGTCTCGCGGTCTGGGGAGTGGTGGTGTCTTCCCGACCCGTACCATCACGGCCTGTGCCATTCCGTTCTGGTGGCACGGATCGAGGCGAGTCAACAAGTGGAATTTTAGTCATGGTGGCTCGCGGCGTCTCATGCCTAGGGGTGCCTGCGGGGTCAATTGGCCCGCTTCGGCCGGGAGAACCTATCCCGCCTGAAAGACCTCTGGGAGTCGTCCTTGGTGAGCCTCTCGGACTCACCTGCGGGTGAGAACCTGGTGACGACCGTCGGCTGGCGTTTCTATTTAGCCCGTTTCGACCCATCCGACCAGAGAGCTGCGTCGCCAGTTTCGGCACCAGTTGATCACCACCGGGACTGAGGCCAGCCACTCTGCCGCTCGTTGTTCGGTTGGTGATTTGCCTCGGTGTGGTGAGAGCGTTGGTCGTGGTATCAATCGCCACAGCAGTTGGAGTGTCTGCGACAACGAAGCCAGGTGTTTGCGGAGAGACCTCGGAGCACTCGTATTCGGAGGGTGCTTCAGTCCATTCGTCCGTGTCCCACTCCCACCATTCGTTGGCATCGGAGCCTTCAAATTCCACGGCGTTTCCGACGTAGCCGAAATCGTCCATGAGATCTGCATAAGTTTCTCGAAACGGCGGCAGCGTTGAAGATGCCGTCGTATCCACCCGCCGAAACGCGCTTCCCTCCTCATGGAACGAGGCGTACCTCGCCAAATCCTCGTCCGGGTCCTCAGCCCCGTCCGGATGTGGATGCTCTGACGCCATTATAATACTCTCCTAAATAATTTGTCAAGTACTCTCAAGACCGGCCCGATCGATTTTGAGCCACACAGGGCAAGTACGACACAGAGGACGGCCTGTGGGGAAACTTGTGCGGAAACGAGCCAACGAGGCCATATATTACTGGTCCAAAAATGTCCTACGCTGCGTTCATCACATTCAGCCACACGGGCGAGGATGAAGCTATCATCTCCTCCATCAAAGACCAGCATCGAAACCCCCTGGAGCTACAGTCCCTGAATGACGTGCTTTCCGACTATGAAGGTAACTCTCGCCCACGATTACTTAATCGTACGGCGGCCGCCTTTTGTGCGGCCCGGTCGTCCTTATAGCCCCCCAGTCGTCCTTATGGCCCCCCAGTCGTCCTTATAGCCCCCCAGTCGTCCTTACAGCCCCACAGCCCGGACTGGGGGGCTGGACGTCACTTTCAACCCGAATACCGACCGCCCTTCAGACCCCAGTCGTCCCCAGCAATGGTTCCTCCTTTCTCAGAAAAGGACGAATTAATGTTGTCGCAGTGTTCATTGCCAGAGTCGCTGAAGGTACAGTTGAAGCGGACTGCGCTGTCGTTCAGCAGCAAGGGCGCAGGTTACGGCCAGGCTGCTGGTCCAATGGGTGCTGGACCGATGAGTGTAGGACCGATGGGTGCTGGTCCAATGAGTGCTGGACCGATGGGTGCTGGTCCAATGGGTGCTGGACCGATGGGTCCTGCAGGGATGGGTGCTGCAGGGATGGGTCCTGCAGGGATGGGTCCCGCGGGGATGGGTCCTGCGGGGCACCCACGGATGACGCCTTCGGTGTACATGCCTGCGGTGGCTGCGCGAGATGTGTCGCTGATTGGGCCACCGCCGTTGCCACCATGTCAGTGGTTCGACCCAACGGGGATAACGGAGACGGAGGTCGATGAGTTGAAGTGTTCGTTTCCAGACTTACGTCCTGGTGTGCAAGTAGGTGCTCGGGACGCAAATTCATGGGCCTACATTCATTTGCGAAACACTTTGATTGATGTGTACCGAAGCAACCCGGGGAGTAAGTTGACGCTGGCGGAATGTCGTAAGTATTGTGACGGTGACCTGGCAGCGTTGATCCGGTTATTATCTTTCCTGGAAAGACATCGGCTGGTGAACTTTGCCCTAGATACGGCCGCGCCGGGTGGCTCCCAGTTATCCAACCAGTCTCTACTGGACCCGGCTACTAAGAAACTTAAGGAGGAACTAAGTTCCCATTGGACAAGCACACCGACCTGCAATGCCTGCGACCGCATCTGCCTCTACTCCTTTTACGTCCTCAGTCCTTCCATATACGGATCCTGTCTACCCTTCAGTACTCTACGCACCGCCATCTGGTGCCAGGACTGCATCCGCGATCTACCCAATAACAACTGTCTACTCAAAGTCAACCTTCCCGCACTACACGTCCCAGGAGGCACCGCCACCTGGAGCGACCAACAAATCACCGCTCTGTTCGACGCCATTGACCTCATGGGACCCGACTGGGTCGCCGTCAGCAAAGCCGTCTCATCTATACCCGGCAACCCCATCAGAACACCCAGGGAATGTCTCGCCGCCTTCCTCAGCATGCCACTATCCGAGCAACCTCAACAACCATCCATGTATGACACAACACAATCTTGGCCACAGCACAATCTTGGCCACAGCACAATCTTGGCCACAGCACAATCTTGGCCACAGCACAATCTTGTCCACCCCACCACAACCTTAGGCACCTAGCACTCGAATTTTCACGTGGGGCCTACCTAGTAGGCCCCCCCGTGCTAGGCCCCACGTGAAAATTCGTGTGCCTATTACGCGGGGACCTAGCACGTGGGGACCTAGCACGTGGGGACCTGGCACGCGGGGGGCAGACAATTTGGTCACGTATTGCGTCCTTAGAGAAACTCAAAAAGCGGAACCTCCGGACACCGATCCCAATACCGAGAAATTTGCAATGGAGCTGCTCATGACCGCCATTGATCTCCTGCAGCAGCGATCTGGAGAACTACCTCCCGTAGCTGTAAGATCCTCACTAATCCTACCTTCAACGTTTCCCCAAGTTTTCGCACGCCCATCCCCTATACCTTTGCCTTCCTCACTGTCCGTTCGCTACCTTCTCATCTGTCTGTCTTCTTGCTGACCGCCCATGCCTCTTTCTTGCAGTCGGCGATTTCTACGGTAGCTTCGTCTCGCTTAAACGAAATCGCGTCAGCGGAACAACCGGGAATGGACAGCCTACTGGCGAATAATATATGAAGCAATCATCTAGCTAGAATACAACGAAGATATGCGTCGACTTGAGCGGCAGGACGGTCGTCGTGATCCCGTCTCAGTTGTCGAAACGTTACTACCCTCTGCGGGTCAGCTATCCTCGGCGGGATAGCTTCCGTCAGTGTGCGCTAGCAACGTTCTGGGGGACGCCACCACCGTCAACCGGGTCGTCGCCTTTTGTCTTGTTCAAGAATGCTTTCATTTAGGCGAAAGCGTTTCATGGCGCCGGATTCCTACAAGAGTAGCATTAAACAATGATGTCGGCACTTAATGGGGAGATTGCACAGAGTTAGCGCTCCCCGGGAGGTGCGAGGGTAACTCGAAGAATATCGGGATATAGACAATATGGAGGAAAGACGGGGATAAAAGACATGATAACTTACCCTGAATTGTCTCCACCCGCATACCCTTTCTTCCTGATTTTCCTTCCACTTATTAAGCTCGAGTTTACGTTGATATTCATCGGCTAGCTTTTGATCGTGCTGCATTTTTTCGTATAGGATATTATTCTGTTTACACTGTTCACTGTACTCCAACCGCTGTTTCCGTTCGACCAGAATCTGCTCGGACAACTCAACGATGCGCTTGGCAACAGCGGGATCTGCATCATCAAACGGAATTTCTTCCTCACCCCGTTTCTTTCGGGCGCGATTCTCCTTTCGCAAGTCTTCCTTGTACATCTCACGGGCTTCATCTATTGTCGCCCTGTACTTCAGTCGGTATTCTGGTTTCAGCAGTTCCCGATGAGCCGAATTTAACGCATGAAATGCCTCGTTCGCACGCGCGTGCGCACACTTATCCGGATGAATCAGGATCGACAGTTTCTTATAGTGGCGCTTTATAAGCTCCTCTGAGGCCAACGTGGGAAGTTTCAACATTCTATAGTACACCAATCCCTCGTCGCCGTCAGCAACAGGTGCTCCGCCACTCTGGGCGAGAATCAATATACGTTCAACTTCATTTTCACCCGTACTCCATTCAACTTGACATTCATCCAACTCGAACAATCCGGACTCCAAGCTCCTTTCAGCCGCAGACTTTTCAGCTTTTGGCAGAAGCAAGCCGGTAGATGTCGGTACCGGAATTTCTCCCGGTTTGGCCTTCTTCAGGACGTCCATACCACCGACTGACGATAAGAAAGACGCAAATGGATCATCCTTAGATGACGTTTCATGGGTCGCAGTATCAGCAACTGGTGGAGGGGCAGCATGAACCTCGCCAGTACGAACGCTCTTTTCTGTGCTGACGCCGTGATTCGAGCTGACGTCGTGATCCAACCTGGTAACAGCCGCCTGCTGCTGCCCTTGCTGAGGTTTCACTATCCTGGACTTCACAAGCCAGTCCGGCTCCACTTCCTGTTTGGTTTCAGATTCCTCGGATTTGACACAGGAGGGCTGGGCTGGGGCGGAATCCTCAACTCTGGCCCGGTCGAAGGTGGATCCGTCGGCCATTTTTTATTTGACCAGGGATGGTCAAGAAGATATCTTTTGGTGGGTCCTCATACTCCCCGGCAACATCAGGTAGGTATTCAGCGTTCCCGGAGAGCCGGCAAATAGACCCACGAGCTTCTCCACAGAATCTCATCCCGTTTGCTCCAGCATTTAGCTTTCCACCATGCATTTAATCACCCATTGTTTTCTTGTTAGCCTCAACCCCGACCAAGTCTGTTCTGAAGGTTAAGAGTCCGCTCAGTGGGACGGTTAGGCTAACAGAGAGTGTGGAATGTCTCACCCTTCGGAACACACTAAAGTATAAGGGCCCGGTCTGTATTACGCGGTCCAAGATGGAGTCGGTTAAGGCGGCAAAGATGGTCTACTTAGGCGTTTGGTTCGACCCGCGGACCGGCGGTCCGGGGGTGTGCAAGACGGCCGAGACAAGGTCCCAGGAGAGTTCGAAATGCGACGAGAGTAGCCAGTCAACTGATGAAGACTCAGAAAAAAGCGAACCAGAAGAGAACGGCTTTCAAGACGATTTTGACCTTATGAAAATATCGAGCGCCTCTCCAGAAGAACGTATATTACCCCTCGTAGCCCTCTTACCCCGCCGTTCCCCCTACCCCCCTTCTCCTTACGCTTTTCCCTTTTATCCCGGTTCCCTTTATCCCGTTCGCCTTACTCCTTGCTGGTGTAGTGAACGCGATTATCGATCGACTGGAGGTCCGCGAGCAGTGGAAACGAGTTCCGGCTGTATTTATGGCACGGTTGAAGTCCATGCTCAAGGTGACGGAATTGGAGTTGGCAGCGGCTGTTAGCCGCAACGGAAAGGAAGCTATCAACGACTGGCTCCTCGGACTGGTGCTTTTGGAGGAGGAGATCCGAGCGCACTTGCCAGAAGCGCAGTTGCCTGCAATGCCAGCTATACGGATGCTACCGAGGCATACATTGAGATTGAAGCAGTTCAACAGGAAGCGGTGGCTGATATTTCGAAAACCATAATAATTCTCGCCGGCAACAGTTCTCACCCTGTGAGAACTGTCGCCGGTGAGAAATCTGCTGGCGGTGATAATTCTGCTGGCGGGGGAGCTTTGTTATGACATGTCTCCAAATGGCCTTGTCAGGTCGGATGGTCGACCTATCTGTCTAGCCAGGCCATCGACTCAAGTCGGACCAAATTATATTCAGCAGCAGGCTAGCGAACAGAATGAACTGGTACATCAGTGGAGTCCGTGACTATGTGGTCCGTGGCTATGTAGTCCGTGACCTGCTTGTTCCACTTGATGTTAACGCTTCATTTATTTGTTCTACGTCCTTCTCTGGGGTCGGGATTCTGATCGATTTGTGTCGAATTCTGATCGATTTGTGTCCTGCAGCATACTTGGTTTGACCGTGTGAACCTTTTTGTGTTGAGACTGTCTTGTCCTTGCGCCGTTGATAATACGTGTGTGCTTGACTTGATTAGAGGGGCGGGATATGAGCCTTATTTTTTAATTGAATGAATGGAGGCAGGAAAGACGACTGAGAGCGACCTGGATCGTCAGATCGCGTTTTTACTGAGCAATGACCAACCATCTAGTATTTTGCCGGAGAATGAGGTCGTTGCGCTATGTCAAAAAGCGAAGGAGATCCTCTCTCAAGAACCCAACGTCAAGAACGTTCACATACCGGTCACTGTCATCGGGGACATCCATGGGCAATTCGGCGATCTAAAAGAATTGCTGTCCATATCTGGCGGTAACCTATCATCCCCACCCATCCATTCGGATATGTTTCCATTCGGATCTGTTTCCTGATTGCAATTGATTGTTTGTAGAGGCTCCTGAGACGAACCTGGTATTTTTGGGCGACTATGTTGACCGTGGATATTTTTCTGTCGAGTCGGTTAGCCTAGTAGTGGCTTTGAAGGTTCGTTGGAAGGAGCGCGTGGTCATCATTCGAGGCAATCACGAGAGTCGCCAGGTAACTCAGGTATATGGCTTCTACGACGAGTGCCTCCGCAAATACGGTAGCGCTAGAGTTTGGAAGGCGTTTACGGACTTGTTTGACTACCTGCCTCTGGCTGCATTAATTGAAGATTCAATCTTCTGTCCCCATGCAGGCCTCTCGCCGTCAGTGGAAACCGTAGACTACGTGCGCGATTTGGAACGGACTATGGAAGTTCCTCACGACGGAGCCATGTGCGATCTTCTATGGAGCGACCCGGACGATCGACCCGGCTGGGGCATAAGTCCCAGAGGAGCAGGATTTACGTTTGGCGAGGACATCACTCAACAATTCACCCACCGAAATAATCTAAATCTTATTGCTAGAGCACACCAACTGGTGATGGAAGGATACCAGTGGTCGCAAAGCAACCTCGTTGTAACAATCTTTTCGGCACCCAACTACTGTTATAGATGCGGCAATCAAGCCGCTATTCTAGAGATTGACCAGAATATGCAATACACATTGTAAGCTGAAACTCCCGACGTTTGCATTCCTGAAATCCGCCAACCGGAGGTCGGCCAACAGGCGTGCACTAAGGGTGCGCACTTCGCAACTACACACGCGTGTGCACACACGTGTGCGCATACATATTATATTTTATCTTTCTAGTATTCAATTCGATCCTTGTCCGGAAAAGGTGACGCCAATGCTGGAAGAAGAAAAGCGATTGCCAGACTATTTCCTCTAGTCGTATTTTTTGGCGCTTTCGTCTGAGACCAGTGATTGCACTGGTTTTTTAGCCGCTACTTGATGGACTCTTCTCCTCATGGCCGCTGAACTCATATTCTTCCCTTTGGACGTCCAGCAACGAAGCGTTGTCCTTCTATTCTTCAAAGCCCGTGCGCCCGTTGCGGGGAGTGGGTGGTCACTTTACTTGTATTTAGGCGAAGGGCGAGACCTGCATCGATATCGAAGGGTCCCCGAAGTCGATCGCCCCGCGAAGCGTTGTGAGAACGGTTGTGAGGATCGGTTTTGAGACCGGTTTCTGGATTCCCAATTGGGACTGGCCGAATGGCATCGGGATCGATATCGAATTCGCTGCGCCAGTGGTTACGTGGTCAGCAGCCTTCATGTTCTTCGTCGCAAGGGTTGTTGGACGGTTGGTCTGAAAATGCAGACGCCCGAACTCTGTCTTCGATGTCTCCGGCGCCCGTGCTGGAAGGAACCTGTGATGGTGACTCAGCGTCCATCGCTTTCACGACCCCGGGCAGGCTACGGCCGCGAAGGCGGACGAAGCACGACTCGGCGTTGACGGCTGGCGAACGGCTGTCGCAGTTGTTAAAGTCGCAAGCGGTCGCGGGGCAAGGCGACCGTCAAAAGGACGGGTATAAAACCAACCGTTATAAAGATAATCGCTACGATGACAATCGCCTTCATGACAGTACCCTTCAGGGCCATGTCCATGGCCGTCCACCGGCTTATTCTACTCCCCGTTGCATCGATGGAGCTTCAGGGCCCAAGTCGGAATCTGGAACCTCGGATCCGGGGAAGTCGTGCTCAGGAGCGCTGGAGCCTATTGCGACTCGCCACAGAATCGGTCGTCGGAAAAATCCGGAATCGCTTGGCTCGAATACGCCTCAACCGGACTCAAGCCTGGTGAGGCACCGCTCCCCCAGCCGTTCCCCCGCGGTTAGGGAGAGTGAATTACGGGGAGGTCCGAGGAAGTTCAAGGAGACGGAGTTCAGTGAAAGAACTGAGAGCTTAATGAAGCGCGCGAGTACAGAGGTGGAAAGGGTTCATCTTCACCATATGAGCGCTTCTGCGGACGGCCTGTGTCCGTCATTGCAAGGTCCTTCGATGCAAAGCTCTTCCATTCATGGACATGTATGGGACACTAGTCCCCCTGGGTCGTCGGAAGGCGCCGCTATAAGAGATCGACCTTCCCTCACCATGGAGCAAAAATTGCGGTTGTTAGAGAAGTATAGAGCCGACATGTCCTACAAGCTGGCAGTGAGTGACAGTGTTACTGTAGCTGTCGAGTACTTCTCTGCCAAAGAGAAAGCTGGAACGCTGGGCGAAGGCGAGACGCTTGCTGAGGAAGATGCGCTTCTGGAGCCCGATGGTACACTGATCGGTACTCATTTACTCTCCGAACACTGCAGAATAAAAGTGCTTATTAACGTGATTTTGGAGAGGTGCATAGGAGGCGGGCCCACCACGTATCTTATAGATACTTTATCAACCTGGTGCGGTTCCAATCCGTACAAGATCCATATCCTGATAAAGAAATTTCAATCGATCGTTAAACATGCTGACGCTTTCTCCGATGCTTGCATCCATAACATCTGCTACCTGTACACTCAGCTCATCGTCAACGAAACCATCCCTCTTCTGTTGCTGCACTATACCGGTGTAGACCGTGACGGAGAAACGAATGCCAGGTTGCTCACACGACTAATGCTGATAAACTTGGTCGAAGCCTGGGGCTTCAGACTCACCAAGGCGAAATTTGCACAAGACCCAAAGTTGGTTGAAATCATGGCGACTCCATCCTACATTGCGTTGCTCAAAGACTTGGGCTTTCTCTTCCTCGTCCCAAGCAACGAACAAGAGAGTTGTCACTTGGGCAAGCACCATTTGAGCAACAACCACTTGGGCAACAACCACGGGGTTGTGCAAGGTGTTCTACAAGGAGGCGGTAATCACAGTTTGGTCACCGGCGCCGACGAATGTGAGCCGGCGTCCAGAACTCCAGTATGTGAACGGTCTGCTTACCTAACCACTTTTCCATCAGCGTGTGAGTACCGCTTGCCTAGCCATCATGCTGGCCATGGTCTTTCTCTGTCAGCGATGCATCGCGAATCAGTGGGGCACCACAAACATCCACCAACGGGGAATCCATTAGCGGGGAATCCACCAACGGGGAATCCACTAGCGGGGAATCCACTAGCGGGGAATCCACTAGCGGGGCACACCAAGATGGGCCACCTGCATGAGGATGGGTTGGTGAGCAAGTCAGCCGACACGTTGGCCAGCGGGTGTTCCCGAGTTTATTACGACGCAGAACGAGGAAATATTTGCAAGGTTGTGTGTCGTCCGGTTCGGGTGGAGCCCATCGACGAGTCTGACTCATCTGATTCGGTTTCCAATCCATCGATCGAACTCACGGAAAGCGCACATTCCTCCTCCATCTCACTCACCCTCGGTGAACCCTACCTTACCGACCTCAGCTCCGACGACGAGGAACACCCTAAATGCACACGCCGAAGGCTTTGCAGAGTGGTCTGTGTCACGTCCCCGTGACTGACTCACCCGAAAGTTTGCCCTACGGTAATCACGCGGGAATAAGAGGCAGAATTTTGTCGCTATGCCCAAAGTGGTATGGCAGGTAACAGATCGAAGTCTCTTCAGTTCTTACTAAAATATATAACACTACAGTCTACTACCGTCAGAAGTTGTTTGAGTAGACTTCTGAGCGGGGTGTTCGCCTAGCTTCTCCGTCTGCATGACATGTCTCGATTTCTTTCTGTTGAGTCATAGTGTTGAGTCATGATGATATCTTGGTGCTACACCCTTTCTTGATCATATCTGGGCGCGCTGTTGCATTCCTTGACCATACACACGTTCTTGATCACACAGTCGGTTATATCCACACCTGGTGTTGGCCCACACCTGGTGTTGGCCCACACTGGTGTTGGCCCACACCTGGTGTTGGCCCACACTGGTGTTGGCCCACAATTGGTGTTGGTCCACACTTGGTGTTGGCCCACACTTGGTGTTAGTACGCCCCTTGTTAGGCGTCGAAGGCTTTGAAGAGGATCCGGTCGCAATCTAGGTCAATGTCGGCCATGTTACGGGTACGGCCCGGTAGTTTGCAGCCAGGGCGGTTGGTGTCGAACCAGCGTTTGACCTTCATGTAGCAAGCGTTACAGAAACGGTATTTGTGGATGTACCGCCATTGCGGTGTTTCGTGCGAAACACAGCGCGCACACGAGCGGTTGCCGAACGCCGCAGGCACGAAAACGTCCCCGTCGTCTGGGTCTTCACTCCCATCCCGCGAAGAACCAGAGGAGAAGGCTGTGGAGCAGGTCAATTGAGACGAGTCGCACCCGGTCGTGGTGATTCCACTCAGGGACACGCCCCCGGGAGGCGAACTTGGGCTTAAACCGGGAGGCGGACTTAAGCTTAAACCACCGGGAGGCGAACTTGGGCTTAAACCGGGAGGCGGACTTAAGCTTAAACCACCGGGAGGCAAGTCAAGGCCTGCAGACATCAAGTCTGCAGACAGTCTCGTCGCGGGGGAGAATAGAGTTGCAGGCAGTGGCGTTGCAGCAACGGGATCCATCACCCCGGACAGCCCAGGGGGGGACTCTACGGATCGCATTTGGGTGGGGACGTGGTTCGCAGCACGCCCTTCCTCGGGCAGAGGGTTGGCTGCGTCGACCCCAAATTTTTCAAGGCCGGAACGACGCTCGCTCTCGTCTACATGTCTATTCCCAGGCCGCCGCACGCGAGCGTCGGGCGAGCTGCTATCCACTCTAATGATGCCCCTTGGCTGGCCGCTTGTCCTGCTGTTCACAATCACTGTGAAACAACAGGGCGCGAACGTCGTGTGACTCGTGACTGCGGCTGGTGTTACCAACTGGCTTCTGATATAGAGGTCCGCACTTTCGCAGTAGTTGTCATCCAACACCTCTGTTAGAATCCTGTCTAAAAGAGGTTCCGTCATCAGTTAAAAAAATCGCGCACATCAACGCGTGTTTGTGTGCGGTCCAATGTGTGTTTTGTGTGTGGTCCAACATGAACCGAAGCAGTCAGTTCCCAACGTCTAGACCCGCAACGTCAGGACCAACCAGCTGATCGTGTTCTCAGTCACGATCAGCAGCGTTTTTAGCGAACGATCAGCAGTGAACATGATCAGCAAACAACAGAAAATTTAAGTTCCTGGACAACGGACAGATCTCGGCTAACGTCCCACTCGACCACTTGCCCGGTCATCGTGACGTTCTTGGAGGAGGAGGAGGAGTCAACGACCACAACCGTCTCCTGCTTCGGGAAGATCAACCGGACGCGTTCGAGCGATGTGTTGTAAAGGGCACTTGCAGGCACCAGCTGATCGAATGTGACTGCAAATCTCTTGGGGCATGCATCTTCCGCAGAATCGGGCTCAGGCCTAACACAGACGGTTAGGAGAGTGCCTACTCGAACAGTCTTCATGTCATCGAAAATCTGGTACCCACAGAATTCATGCTCTGTGCTGCGATCTAATGTGATCGAGAGAGTGTAGGGATCAAACCGCTGGGCCTCAGTGGAAAGTCGGAGCCTTTCCTTCGTGAAGAGAACTGTCGAACTCTTGATGTAGTTGCCGTGCTCAACTTGTCCTGTGACGGGGGTCATGCTCGGTAAACTGTACCACACACTCGTGTCCGGAAGAGGTCTTGAAGAGCGTCGATTTTTGGAATCATTTGGAGCCATTTCCGGAGCGGTATCTGGGTACACGAAGAAGGTCTCACCAACAAGGAAAGCGTCGTCGGAAAGGTCGTAGTCAATAAAATTCGATAGCTCGTCGAACCTATCGGACTGTGTAAGCTGGTCTGAATGCGCAAGTTGGTAGTCCAGGATCGAGGTCCAGATGGGAATTCCGAGACGGTGGTGAAGGTAGGCAGTGGTGGCCCAGAAGGGAATGAGCCGATACCGAAGAGTAAGAGCCTTGCGGGTATGTTCGAGTATGTGGGGCCTTTCATACAGTTCGCGTCGAGTAGTACCGAGTGTGCTATGAATTCGCATAAAGGGGTACCAGATGCCCAATTCAACCCATTTTCGGAACAAATCATCGGAGGGTTCACCGAAGAAGCCGCCGATATCCGCCCCCAAGTAGCTGTATCCTGAGAGCGACATGGAGAGGATCATGGAGATGGAGTTCTTTAGATAGCCGTAACCCGCAGTGTTATCACCCGTCCACATAGGTCCGTACTTTTGGCTCCCTACGAACGCCGACCTTGTCAAGACGAAGGGACGTTCCAGAGGGCGCGCCTTGGCCAGAGCTTCGTAGGTCACCCGGTGGTACGCGAGACCGTACAGATTATGCACCATGCCATGAGGTATCTTGCCATCCTGATGTAAAACATGCTTCGGCACCGTCACTTGGTCTTTATTGAAGACGCTAGGCTCATTCATGTCATTCCATACGCCGACGTTAATTAGCTGACGCATAAATTGGCAATACTCCGCGTTGTTTGAAACCCAACCTTCTGGGCATTGTCCCGCACGTTGGTTAGTGGGTAGACCATGTAAAGGAGGTAGGTTGCTTTCCTTCAGGGGGTTGGCTCTGTATAACTCCGGCCAGCGGCTGTAGTAGTTAGCATAGATATCGATCAGTTGATCTTCTTTGAAAATATGATCGGGGTAGACTGAATTCCCCGGCCAGCACCATCCATTAAAGTCAGGAGATGACTTGGCTTCATGCCCAAAAGATTCCTTGATCAGTACTTTTGCATTCTTCACCTTCTGGTACAGCGAGTACCGGGGGTTTAACTTGATATGAGGGTCCACAATTACGACCAAGTTTTGTTTCCGCTGCTGCAGAGTCAGCCGCATATATTCCGGGTCTGGGAACTGTTCATTCCACGTAAAGTACTGCCGATCCTCGCTGTGGTCAATATCGAGCCACAAGTAGTCCAGTGGTAGCCGGTAATTGATATACGTCTGGGACACATCCAAGAGATCATCCTGACTTACGTAGTTCCAGCGGCTCTGATGCAGACCAAAAGAAGCCGTTGGCAGCAATGGGGCGAAGCCTGTGAACTCATTTAGGACACGCGCAACGCCTGTCAACCCGGTCTTCAGCCTAGTGACCATCGCCTCTGCACGACTTTGTATATTAGGAGTCACAGAGTCCACAGAGGACCATAAACAATCAAAACGACCATACTCACCGACAAATGCAGCAGTCCTACTTGAAAGCTTTCCAATAGCTTGACTCGAAGTAGTTTGACTCGAAGTAGTTTGACTCGAAGTAGTTTGACTTGAAGTAGCAGTTTGATTTTCAGTTTGATCAGCGCCATAGTTTTGCTGACCGGGATGAATATCATGTTGGATCAAATTTACGTAAAGCTCACTGGGTTGCAGCATAACCAAGCTGGTCACCGCGTTGGCAGTAGGCTGAACTGTGACCAAGTGTGGAATGGCACCGTACATAGCCATTGAGGAGTCCAATTCGTATTCGAAAAGATCTGCATTGTAAAATCTAACCCAGGGGTCAGATCCTGAAGTGACCGAAAGATTGAAGTCCAGTGTGTGCTGAGACAAGCCGTGCTGGGATAGGACGTCCACATAGTCCACTACGAACCCATAGCGATTTTTATCCATCACCAACCCGTGGCAATGGGCTACCGGTCTGTTCCGATGGTACAAGACCAACTGCGGCCCGTCAGATGGCGACACGTCGTCTAACGTGCTGCCCGGGGCATTGCTTGGATGAGTGGTCATGAAAATCGCCAGAACATCATCTGCGGTGTCTGGTCCGCTGTCTGATGCGTCCACAGCTGGCTGCTTAAAGGCGTACAGGCCGTTCGACTGCAACTCTATTCTGCCGTTGCGACAGGGCTCATCTCGAATCACCTCAGGACCGGGCTCGTAAGTGGCTTGCTGACCCTCTATTAACTCCATCGAATATCGCAATGAGCAACCACTTGTCAACGAACCCCGACCAATCGAGTCAATTTGAGAGTCACCACTTGAACCTCCGGTATTTCTACTGGGGTCGCTATTCTGTGGTTGAACCATTCGAATGGTCACGGTTACCCGAGGGTTGACATAGGTACTCTCGATATTGCTACCATTTACGAAGTCATCAACCTCGAACTCCAAGCCACTTGTCTGATAGAAAGAATCCGTCTGAGGGGATTGTTCTGTCTGCGCTGAGGGCTCCGTGTCTGCCTCCTGAACACTATATGGTACACCGTGTTCGGCGACCTCGCCATCATCAGAGACGAGAGGCTCAGACCCAGATGCCAAGGAGACACTCTGCAACTGTCTCGGCGCTGCTCCACCGGCAACGCTGCTTGCTACTGGGGCTACGAGCGTCGCCGCCTCCTCCTCTTCGTCTGGGGTCGAGTCATCGCCGAGGGGCACTCCAACAGGAGTGTTCCCAACTTTCTCAGGGGGGTCTTGGTCATGTTCTTTTGCTGAGCAGTCACATGCAAGTGAAGTACATTCATCCGCCGAGTCTAGGCAGGATCGTCGAAAATTCACCTTTAATGTAGTCTTATCCACCAATTCACTGCTTTCTTTCAACCACCGCCAACTACCTATGGATTGGGCAGTAGGTAGACAATAACTGGACTTGGCACAAGAGTCAAACTGATGCCGGTTGGCGCCGTCTGTTACGCGTGCCAGAAGGCATACGAAAAATATGCCCCGGAAAATCATGTCATCCCAATTTCACCGCGCCCCAAAACAATGTTCCAGCATCACTCGGACCCCGAGCGTGTTGAATGAGCATTTTCTTTGCTTTTAGCGTGCTTGCACACGTGTGTGCAAGCGCAAAATGCAGTTGATATGTCCCCTATTTCTGTCTTCAATTGCAGCGCAGACAGCAATTAAGAAAACAAATACGTTAACACCTTCACTCGGTGGGAATGGCCTTAATGCAGATCATCAGGAGCTCATGCTAAACTCCGGAGAGTCACAAGAGTCTTCGGCATTAGATGTGGATTCGGCTACATGCAAATTGGATGCATTACAGGAACTTAAGCCACAATTAGAGGCGGGGCTAGAAGGTAGCGCGAAGATATTGGTTGATTTGCGAGAATTTGACTCTCAGGTGGCGGTGCGCATGTCCGCCAATACTGATGGTCTGAAGATCAACCTTCCAGGGGTAATGAATCTACTCCTACCCGTAGTATTACCCATATAAGCCTCTAGCCCTACTACCCCGGTAGTGCTCCTACCCCTGTCGTCCTCCTACCCCGTGTAGTCCTCCTACCCCTCTGGCGTTACTTTCCTGGATATAAATCTGGTTTCAGTTTCCAAGGATGTTTGGCATCCCTTACAAAGATATTTCGTTGCCTTTGCTGACTTATTACGATCGATGTCTGCAATTGGAGTTGAGAACTATGGAAGTGCTTTTACTTTGTTTTGACTGTCATGGTCATCGCAATCTTTGGTTCAATTCCATCACCGAAAGGGTTTTGTTTGATCGCATTGGCGCGAGAGGCAACCTCCCGGTCTGGCCACAGGAAATAAGGCTGACCCAGGTAGCAAACCAGGAGCAGCACGAATCTTCGGAACCGTTGCCTCCGACGAATGCTACCGATGTCAAGAGTACGGCGGAGGAAGAGGACAAAAATATATACGTCCATATTCTGGCGTACAAGGGATTAGAGCCGCCAGAGATGATTTTAGGTGGTATCGACTTGAGCACTTACATTAAGCAAGCGGTAGCCGTTGTCGCCTCTACTACCGTGGCCCCATCCTTGACGGCCGATCTGAGCTTGAGCCCAATTGAGTTAGCGCAAAAGAAGAAGCAGCAGGAAGTGGAACAGACCATCGACTTATTGGAGGCCATGAACAATAGACTCGACCTGGAAACAGCTGCCGAGGAACCGGAAGTGGATGCTGACATCCAAAAAGCGTCAGAAGTGGCAACTCAACTGCTTCGGATTCCATAGTCCCATCTTTGGCGGAGCGAACGCCACAGACCCGAAGGTGTCAAGAAACCGATCAAGCCAAACCCGAATAGGTTAAACCAGAATGCAAGGGATCCTGGCGCGGTCATCGGGTCAAATGCCCGATTCAGCCGACTAGGGGCAGAAGAGTTCAGCGAGCAGAAGAGTTTGGCTAGATCTGTTTAAGAAAGGCTCTGGTCATTTGGGCAGACCGCTCTCCAGCGAGGCTGGCGAACGAGTCATATTCGGCATGGTCGTCTGCTGTGTCCGACACGGATCTCACAATAAGGCACGGCACTTTAAACTGCTGGCACACGTGCGCGACCGCACAACCTTCCATTTCCACGGCCATCGCTTCCGGCCAGTGTTTAAGCAACCCCTGCTTCGTTTCCTCCGACTCGCAAAAGGACTCCACAGTCACCACGAGCCCCCGATGTATCCCAACCTGCCCGTGAGGCTGCGGACCTTCTTGATCGGGACCCTCAACCTCTCGGTCCGCACCTTTTCGGTCTCGGTCTCGATCTTTTTCTCGGTCCAGGTTTTGAGCCGGGGTATTCTGGTCCTGCACTTGGTGTTCAATAAGTTGATGCTTAACGGGTTGTTCAGCGACCATCTGTTGGCAGACGGTTTGAAATTTGTGTAGAATTTCTTCGGCGGTATAGAACGCTGGGGAGTCGTAGGGTACTTGGCCGAACTGTAAGCCAAAGCAGCAGTTATCAACGTCGCCGTAAACGAGTTTCTCGGCGACAATGATGTCACCGATCTTCAATGTGCGACTTATTCCACCCGCGGCGCCCGAGTTGATGACGAGCTGCGCCTTAAACAACACGCACAATACCGCCGTGGTCGCTGCGGCATTCGTGCGCCCAACGCCACTCTGGACCAAGACAACGTCTTTCTCCTCCAGCTTACCGCAATAATACACCTTCCCGCCAACTTCGCGTGTGCTGATGCCACTCATCTGCTTCTTCAATGGTTTAAACTCATAACCACAAGCCACCACAACTGCTGTCACCGACATTCCTGCCTCTTCTAACAAAACCTTAGATCTTTGGCTTTTGGCAGATTTTTGCTCTTGCACCCAAAACCGAGCGAAAAAAGTTATTGAGAAAAGGGTTCAGAGGTAGGTCCTTCGTCAGCAGTAGTTAGACGCGTCTGTGTTGCAGGCGGCTTAGCGTAACTGACTGCAAGTAGAGGTGGGTTGACACTAGGTGGGTAGTAAGCCATCAAGGTGAAGGGCTGGGCATTCCACTCGGTCGCTTCCACAGCCTGCCAGCCAAAGTATTCGTAGACAGCTCGGGCAGTATCTGTAACAGCTTCGAGGGTACAGATTTTGCCGTCGCGGGCCGAAAGTACTTTTATGTAGTTCAGCAGCCCCCTGATGGTTCCTCTCCTCTCGCCTTGCGGATGGCGGCCGATGATTTTGAGACAATACACCCCTGTTAAGCCGTGCTTCGCGTGAAGCGCGTCGGAAAAGCGGTTGAAGGAATGCGCCTCCGGCTTCGCCGACACGCAGGGGCCCACCACCAACACGGCCACAGCACTGTAATTTCGCGATTCAAGTAACAAATAGTCCCGGTAGCGACCCCAGTACTCAACTGCTTTCCGGAAGTGCCCCCGGCATAAATCTGCCGTAACCTCTGCGTCGTCCCGCAGCTTCTCGTCCTCACGCACATAGGCGTCGTTAAACGACTGCTGGAAGAACGCCTGCACCAATACCTCCACAAAGCGCTCATCATTCTTCGGCGTATGGTTCAAAACAAACGGGGCTAACCCAGTATCATCCGTGGCGGACGATAAAGCAGACGGAGTTAAGGCGGACATCACGAAATATTTATCTCCAGCTCACGGATAACGCTTTGCACACACGTGTGCTGCGCGCTCCAATGTAAAAAATTGGAGTGCGTCCTGACTACAATCAGGGCAGCCCAGTACCTAGGATTTCAACAATGTGGTTGGGTCCTATGGGTCAGCTTTTGATGTTGGGTTGTTGTCTAAAAATTGGCGCACTGGCGGGCGATTTGGTCGATGCACCTCTGGCCCTTGACCGAGAGGCGTCTCTTTTGCTTGTCACCAAAGGCCTCGACGAGTTCCATGGACTGGAGCTGTCGGATGCAGTAGCGGATGACCTTGCGGCTAGCCATCCGGTGGTGGCAGGGTTGGACACCGCGATTCTGACTGCCGCCGTAGACGTGGGCGAGACGGCCGACGCCGCACTCCTTGGCGTTGAAGGCCATCTTGCGGAGGATGGAAGCCGCGCGGATGTAGAAGAAATCGTCGTCGTGAGCGCTCAACTCGCGAGAGCAACCAGACTTGGCATATTCAGCCCACTACAAGACACCCAATTTTTGTTGCCACCCGCCGAGAAGTGTGCTCCACCGTCGCGAAGTGTCCAACGCCGTGGGGTGTGGTCGTACCTTGGGAATCTCGAAGAAACCAGAGTCCTTGAGGTGGCGGGCGCACTTCTTGATGAACTGGTCGGCGGGGACGTCGCTGACGGTGAAAACTGCGGAGTTACCGGGAACCAAGAGCTGCATAGGGTCACTGGCGCAGTAAAAAATAAGTTTGCCGGGCGTATGTTTTGTCCCTTTTTTACGCCCAAACCGGGGCGTGCTTGGGCTACACAGCCCTGCTTCGGCTTCATTTGCTCCCGGCTTCCTTGGGCGCTCCTTCACAGGTCTTAGGAAGCAATTGTTGAGTTGCTGGCTTAGTCTTTTCCCTTCAGAGCCCAGCTCTGCAAAGGCTTGGCTTGGCTTCCTGTGCTTCACTTCACTCGGAATGCAATGGAGTCGCCAGCATCATCATGAGACTGGCGAGGGCTCGTGGCAATGTGCTCAGAGGCCACTAGCTGGGTGGGAATTCGACACCCCGCGTCCGGCCGCTTGTAATATGGCCGCGGACTTAAGGCCGGTGGCTGTTAACAAAGTTGTTAAATCACAACCCGGGTACACACACTTGGGACATGACTACCGTCACATTAGCCCAGACTCTGCGTGCATTGAGAGGTGCTGTAGAAGTACGTCGCGCAAGATGCCCAAATGCTCCCGTACTGACCCCATCCCCCCCGTGGCTGCATGGTGAGAACCACAAAAGGTAGCAGCGACGACCCACTACAAGTGGTGGCTGCGCCACTCACCACAAGTGGCGGCCGACCCACTGCAAGTGGTGGCCGGCCCGCTGCAAGTGGTGGCCGACTCACTACATAGTGGCCGACCCACCACAAGTGGCGGCCGACCCACTGCAAGCGGTTGCTGAGTCACTCGCTACAAGTGGTGCGGACAGGCAAGACTTTTCGATGGGCGTACGCGAATGGGGGTGGGTGACCAGTCTGCGGACGATTTTTTTAGATCAAATTGTCACGTTGTGGATGCACCCGAGCAGGAATAATGAGCCCTCCGTCATCATCTAAGTTGCGTACTCTATTCATCGGTTTGAGCCCGACGGCCGAGGAGACGACCGAAGACGACGTGGACGATTTGCAGGATGGGTTGGTGACGTCGTCGTTGGCATCAGTTAGACGGAAAGTTTACCCTTCGGACTTTGTGTTTCATAAGGTGCTAGGGAAAGGAAGCTACGGAACGGTGATGCTCGTGCGCTCTTTGTTAGACGGCAGGATATATGCGATGAAAATGCTCAGGAAGGAAAACGTGATACGGAGGCATCAGGTCCAACATACCAGAACGGAAAGGAACGTATTGGAGCTTATCAGACATCCCTTTATTGTCTCTTTGTACCATGCATTCCAAACCAATAAGAAACTATATTTCGTTATGGAATTCTGTCCTGGAGGTGAACTATTTTTTCATCTCTCAAGGGCGAGCAGATTCCCAGAACCTAAAGTAGTATTCTATGCAGCAGAAATTATACTCGCTCTTGAATTCTTACATCGAAGAGACATAATATACAGAGAGTAAGGATTCCCATTGTCCCACCCTTATGGTTGCGTCGTTATGGTTGTACCGTTATCGTTATGGGGATCTCAAAAAAGTGTGTGCACACACGAAATCTCGAATTTTCCGTAGCTTGAAACCGGAGAATATTTTGCTTGATGGCGAAGGACATGTGAAGTTGACCGACTTTGGCTTGTCGAAGTCCGGAGTGGCCGATAACTACGGTACGCGATCGTTATGTGGTACACCCGAATACTTGGCGCCCGAGATCTTATCGCAACAAGGCCATGGAAAGGCCGTGGACTGGTGGTCTCTAGGGTCGTTGATATACGAAATGTTGACTGGATTGCCGCCTTTCTATTCCAAGGACCGAGATCGATTATTTCACAACATTCGGTCTGGAGACATAAAGTTCCCTCCCCATGTCTCGCAGCAGGCCCAAGACCTCATGAAGAAGTTATTTGTACGAGATCCAGACCGTCGGTTGGGAGGCAGTGCACGAGACGCCGATGAGATTAAGGAACATCCATTCTTTAAGGGGATCGATTGGCGGAAAATCGAAACCAAGCAGGTTACCCCTCCGTTCCAGCCCCAGCTAGATGGGGAGATGGATACCCAATACTTTGATCGCGAGTTTGTGAAGCTACCCGCTGTGAATAGCGAGGTCGCCGATAGTATAAATGAATCCGTCCGAGATGACATGTTCCCCGGCTTCAGTTACAATTGCCGAGAAGAAGATTAGAACGCGTACCAACCTTCAGAAGGATCCCTTCCCGAGTGTACACTTCGAGATACCACCCCGATAACATTTCGGAGTAAAATCTCATCTCAAGGACGCCAGATTGAATTTAAGGTTGAATTCGGACACAATTTGGGGCTCGACTCTTGGGTTGTTCGACTCTTGGGTCGTATGCAAGCGCTTGGTCATGCGCCTCAGAACCGTCCAGCACAGCTCCTTTTGCCAGAGGAGCTGCCGTTTCTTGTAGGACGTTCTGCGTCGACACTTACCCCTCCCCCCTTAACATTTGTTTGTGGTCGGCCACTGATTGGTGACTGCTCTGAAACTGGTGGCCGAGGTCCATTTTACGCAAAGCTGGTGTCCCCCTCCCCCCTTGTGGAAAAAAATTCAGACGAGAAAACTGTACACATCCCGCGATGGCAGAAGGTCGTCGGGCAAACATTTCAGTAACCTCTGACTCGGAGTCGGCTGAGATGGGTGTTGACTTTCATCCTCCGGATTGTGATAGGAGTAGCAGCGGTCTGTTGCTCGGTAGTGAAACAAAGTCTTCAGTTTCGCGCGGAAGGATTGAAGAAGCTTTGGACAGAGACGCTGGGACGGAAGGTGAGGTATGGGTCGAACCCGTGGACGTGTTGGAAGCAATCGGCTTCGGATGGCTGCAGTGGTTTGTTGCTATTTACGGAGCCATTTCGTACAGCCAGTTCGTCATCCATACGATGACACCCACCTTGAGTCAAGAAAGCCTTTGGGTTCAGTGGCCACACCTCGCTACTGACCGAGTTGCTTACAATGGCGTTTTTACTGGCCAGGCGATCGCGCGAATCGTTGCTGGATTGTGGTTGAGCCCTTTGCTCGACGTTTTTGGTCGTAAGTGGTTGGTGTTTCTAGGGGTGCTAATCCCTCTAATAATTGCCGTAATTGCCATGACATCACCCAATTTTGCGGTCTATGCAACTCTTAGGTCACTAATTGCCCTTACGTGTATGACTGCTGGGTCTGGTGCCAGTGTGTATGTGGTAGAGATGGTCCACACGAAAAGAAGAGCATTGATGGCCTTGGCGTTCCAATTGGTCGGCACCAGTTATGTGATGTACGCCACTGGCGTCAAGTGGGGGCTGGACGATCGTATAGACGTAGCTGAGGACAAGTCTTGGAGCATTCATGCCAAGAACAACCTTTGGAGGTGGTTTCAGCTGCTGTCGCAGCTGCCCAGCGTAGTAGCGCTTTTGATGGGACTCTTCGCCTTCTACGAGACACCCCGGTTCCTCCTAACAGTTAAGAAGAACAGGGCCAAAGCTTGGCAGGTGTTCGACAAGCTATCGCGGAATAAGCCGGAAGTTGTTAATGATCGCTTGGGTCTGAACTCTGCTGTCAGGGCTGACCGGGGGCTTCAGGACGCTTTCATTGGTCGCGATGGAGATGCGTTGCGCAATAGTCAACGATCCCACCGTCGTCCGCCGTTGACTGCGCGTCGAGAGCCGCAGAATTTGGCTATCGAGGATTGTCGCGCGCGTGTGCGATTTACCGGAATTGATGATAGAAAATCTCAGGATACGAATTCTACGCCCGAAACCTACCTGGACGGGCTGAAGGCAGTGTTTAACGTAAAGGTAACCTTCCGCGGCTGGGCGGAGCTGTTCACGCCGAAATACTGGAAGCTGACCCTTGCGCTGTCTTCCATTTGGTTTTTCACTGCCTTCAGCCACTGGGGTATTACGTCATATTGTACGTTGTTCTTCCAGTACTTGGGCGTCAATGTTAATTTAGTCACGATGCTCTCCTACGCTGTTCAATTACCTTTCCACTGTTTGGAATTTTATGTAATGCAAGCGAGCTGGGGAGGCAGAATTTTCGCGATCAAGTGGACATCGTTGGCTGGCGCAATAGTTTCAATTATCTTAGCAGCATGTGCCAAGGTCGACAACCAAGCATGGCTTTCGACCCTGGCAATTTTGACTTTATGCTCCGGCTCTGTTCTCTGGGGCCCTGTCTACTCGTATTCCTCAGAAAGATACCCGATTCACCTAAGGGGCGCCGCCATGGGACTGTTCTCCGCTATCAACGGCCTGAGCACCGTGGTCACGACCTACGTTGGAAGCACTGGCCTTACCGGCGCTAAGCTGTACGTCATGCCCCTCGTTTGGGGAGTCATCCGACTCGCGGTCTGGATTAGCAGTCTCATCCTAGACGTGGAGGTCCGCGATTTCGACCTGGGCGATGACGTGGATGGTGCTTCACCAAATGGTGTTTCACCGAACGGCGTTACCACATACCGCGACAAGATTTGAAAGCGGGAGGCAGCGAGAGAGAAAATATAAGATGTAGAGTGCAAGAGAGTAGTGTGCACGAGAGAGTGTACAAGAGAGGTACAAGAGAGTGTACAAGAGAGCACGAGAGAGTGCACAAGAGAGAGTACAAGAGAGACAGGGTGCAAGATATAGAGAGAAGAAAACAAGAAGCTATCACCCCAGGCAGTTGAAGAAAGAGAACGGTGGGAGAACGGTGGGTGGACATAAGAAGACGGACGGCGGTTCCGTTCGTTCTTTTATGCGGCACCTAACAGAGCAAACGAGTAGCATCTTTCTGGATGTCGTTGCTGAACAACACCTTCTTCTCGGTAGCAGGTTGTTTTGGATGCATTTGCTTTTTTCTGGTGGGTCTGCCATGCGGGTGGATGTCTGGAGCCCTGGCTTAGACGCGGGGTGGTGTTTCGATTTGGAAAAAGGGAGACCGGGTTTTTGCGACTGGGCTACTGGAGTAGAACATCATTAGCTAGATGGGATTGATATCAGCTAGGTGGATTGTGGGCTTGTTCTGATGAGCTGCTATTCTCAATCAGCACCTCGGGGGTGATTTGTTTAGAGGCTCTCTGTTCGGGAGTCATTCGTTCTGAGCTAGTTCCCTCCGGGCTTCTTTGCCCTTCCCAAGCACAACCCTCCTTCTGTACACAAACCTCCAGCGCTTCTCTGTCCAACAAAATAATCTCGCCGATGGCAGAGACGTCATCATCCACGGAGACTGTTTTCGACTCACTCTCTGCGATCGTGCCCGAAAGTCGCCGCTCCTTTCCGACCTCATCATCCCCAGCCAAGACATTAGTGGCTAAGATATCAGCGCTGAGACCGTCCACGTTGTCATCCAGGTTGGTGTTATTGGTCAGGTTTTTGCTTGCTTCAAGCAACTGGGAGTTGTTGTTCGAGTGGTGTTCTTTGACCAAGTCCAGTGCGTTTGTCAATACGCATATTTCTTGTGGGCAGCTGAAGATGGACCCGGAGCCGATGCAGCAAGCCATGGCGTCGCGCATGGCAGGCATATCGTCGTTGCCAAAATCGAACACCGTCGGTGACTTGTAGAGCCCGAGGCAGCGCGCAAACTGTGCGATGTACACACCACAGTCCAGCGAAGTCAAAGACTGCTGTGGCAAACCTCGAACCAGGTACCGCGGCCACACGTCTTTAAGCATTGGAATAGCGCCAGAATTCTGATTAGTGTCAGAGTCCTGTTTGGTGTCAGAACTGTGTTTAGTGAGAGAGTTCCGTCCCGTCCCGGCCGAATCAGGGTCGTGCCCGGCCGAATCAGGGTCGTTGTCGGCAGAGCCAGGGGCAGGGCCAGAGTTGCGGCCAGTGGCAGAGCCGTGTCCCGATGGCTGAGTGAATCTTTGGCGATAGTCGAATTTCATGTATTCTTCTACGCAGTACAGGTGGAGCCAGCCGGGGAAGGCTGCTGCGTTATCTTCGGTGATAGGGTCAAGTCCCTGTTGCACTCTATATAGGCTGGGCCGCGATTTGAGGTAGCGGTGGTAAGCGTCCGTATAGCAGTCCGTATAGCTGTCGAGGTAATAAAGCTCCTGTGTTGCCACATCGACCACGATCAATACCCAATGCGATACCATGTAATTCACCGGCCACACAACATATCGATGCAACCATGGGTTCAAATCCCGACGTCGCAAGAAACGAAAGACCTTCTGGCAAGCACTCTCCATGCTACCTCCACTCTCTAACGCAGCCACCGATAATCGTGAAACACCTCCCAACCTCCACAAACCTCCATGCAACAACTTCGAAATGCTCCGTGTGTCCGAACGTGGTAGCGCACTCGCGTTTGACACACCCAGAGCAAACTCGAACACCGAAATAAAGTCGGTAGATAAATACAACACTCCAACCTCCTTAGCCTTCTTTCCGCCAACCTCCGAGGCCGATGCGTCGTTCAGATTTCCACCTCGGTCGACGTTCCCGCTTGAGTCGCCGCCCGTCGAAAAGTGCTCCGTCAGAAGTGATAACCACACGTTAATCACATCCGCGTTCAACTCAACCGATCGCTCCAAAGCCCCATTACGGCCACCCCGCCATTCCACGGCTGGTCGCAAACACCATAGGTGAGTCCGCGTTATGTAACTGAACTTGTGATTGAAGCATTCAAAACGCGCTGGGTGCCCCTCACCTACCAACGACCCATCCAGGTACCAACGCCGCAACTTCTCCGGGTACAACTCCACCTCCTCCTCCTCCTGAGCGTCCTCTGTCCGCAACTCTTCTTCCGCTTTGAGCTGCTCTTCCGTCCCGACCTTCTCCTCCGATCGCAGGTCCTCCTCCATCCGGACCTCCTCCTCCATCCGGATCTCCTCCTCCATCCGGACCTCCTCCACCAATCGCAGGCCCTCGTCCGTCGGGAGATGGTTTGGCACACTGGCCAAGCAGGTGGCCTCGTCCTCCGTGTTGGTCTCGGTTGTTCCGATGATGACGGCAACCTCCTGACTCGGAGTACTGAAGGTGCCTTCGTCTCCGGCAGCAACCCCAGTCGGGCCGCTTAGCAGACACGCTTCGTTTGGCAGTTCTTCCTGTGGCAGTTCTTCCTGTGGCAGTTCTTCCTGTGGCAGTTCTTCCTTCGGCAGTTCTTCCTTCGGCAGTTCTTCCTTCGGCAGTTCTTCCTTCGGCAGTTCTTCCTTCGGCAGTTCTTCCTTCGGCAGTTGCTGTTCCTCCCGCAATTGCTCCACGGCCACAGTTTCCAGGGAAACAGTTGCCTCCGTCTTCTTCTTCTTCGGTGAAGGGCGAGGAATGGCTTCCACGTGAAGGTGTTTACGTAATTGTGTGCGTAGATCTACTGCCTCGTTCGGTTCGAGGAGTCGCTGGAAATCGACGGCGGTCATTTTTTGTGTGGCTTGGGGGACAGTGCGGCGGACGTACCAGGAAGGGGCATGACCGATGTGTTTGGCGTTCACGACCCGTGGGGTTCGGTCAATAAACCATTGGGCGCTGTGTTGGCATCGGAAACGCAGAATGCGTAGGCTTAGATATTCGTACAGCACCATTAGACTTCCTAGGCCGTTCCCGCGCATCTGTAATACGTTCACTGATAGGAATGACCCGCCACCAATATCCGGAAACACCAGCCCCTGCGTTGGTGAACATGGAGGCGTACACGAAGACGAAGAAGGCCGCGACAATCTCAACTCACGAACCACCGGCGCCGACGGCTCCTTCCCCTCCGATGAACACACGCCCTCCTCCACCGAAGAGCATCCCGCCACGGCACCCGGCTCACTCGATCTCAACTCGCTCCGTACCTCGCTCACCGACTCGCTATCCACCGACTCACTCATACGCGACTCACTCACGACCGACTCACTCACGACCGGGTCGAGCCGTGTTATTTGGGCCACCGGTTCGAGCCGTCCTGCCAGGTCAGGTCGCAGACCCGGCTCAGGTCGCAGACCCGGCTCAGGTCGCAGACCCGGCTCAGGTCGCAGACCCGGCTCGGATCGGAGACCTGGCTCGGATCGCAGCACCGAGTCGTGCAGCGGTTCCCGCGGTTCGCCGGACATCCGCAGTCGTCGTCGTCCGGGCCGCGTGGGCGGCGACGGTCTCGAACCGGCGGTGTGTAGCACGGGAGGTGTCCGGTCGCCGGAAGCCGAGGAAGAGGACCGTAGCGCCCGCCGACCCGGCGACTCGTCGGCCAGCAAGCCCGCATCAGGCTGCATGTGTGCGTCGACCAGCATACCCTCGTCCGGCGACGGGCACACGCGTTCGCACACGCGTTCGACCCCACCGCGTCGGCGCAGGTCGTCGTCGTCGCTGCGATGGCGGCGGCGGCGTTTGTCGTCACGGAGAACGCGCGGTTCCGTGATCCGACGTTTGACCAACGACCGTTCCGGTTCGAGACTGTCCCCCGACTCTCGCGCACCTTCGAGTACACGCCGCTCCAGCGACCCACGTCTCCGCAGCCACGCGTCACCAGAACGACCCCAACGCGTCTCCTCC